GTAAACTTTTTTAAGTTTCAACAAGTGTTAAACATCATCTCGGTTTAACTTCAACTTGTAAACTTTTCTCAAGTTTCAACAAGTGTTAAACATCATCTCAATTTAACTTCAACTTGTAAACTTTTCTTAAGTTTCAACAAGTGTTAAACATAATCTCGGTAAACTCTTCTCTTCTCGGACTTAATTATCTTAGGCTGAGATCTTGTCTTCTGGGATCTGGGATCCGAGATCTGGAATCCGGGATCGGCTTACTTGGACTGAGCTCTTGTCTTCCCATATCCAGTGTTATCTCGGCTTGACAGGTGAGGTCACCTCGGCATCTTGTCGCTTTCTTTGGAGATAATCCCTCAGATCCTCCTTGGTTCGTCCAGGAGCTCGGCTATCTCCGAATTTCAGCCTCTTTGGTGCACTACTTCCTGTGTCGTTGTGAGTCCTTTTGGACCTCCTTCCATTGGTCGCGTCGAAACAGAGGTCCTTCCCCTAAACATGCTGATGTTCTTTGGAGTCAGCTTCCTTGGTGCGATGTGTCCTCTGTGAATCTCCCCTTCTTGATTCTCCTCGTCAAACCTCCCTTGAAGGCCAGTGAGAATGTTCCTTGGTCATATCATGCTGAGGAGTCGTAGGAGTTGTCTTCTGCCCCCCTGCTTGGGCATCTTTCTTGGTTGCTGTAATCGGCGTATCTTGTGACAGGAACGGTGGCTGCATGACGTTGTTTTGTATCATGAAATTGATAACCGTTTGCAGGTCCGCTAATTTGTTCGCCATTCCTTTCATCTCGTCGTCCTTTCGTAAGCATCTTTCTTTCCATACCTGGAGGTCGTCCTCGTTATAATACTCGCTTTGGTCTGATTTCTTCGGCACGTCGCCCTCCTGGCCGACGTCCTGTTCTCCGTGATTCTTATCACGAGTTTCTTCATTGTAGTTGTCTTCTTTGATGCCAAGGTCAATATGTTTCCCATTCTCAGTAGGGGTGTCGTCCCTAACCTTTTTTTCCGGTCTGTCGTTGGCCATCTATTCTCTTTTCGTTCCCACAGACGGCGCCAAATTGTGTGGGTGATTTTCTGACCACACTGCCAACTTAGTACTCAACTGGAGAATACCGGCAGAATAGATTAAGCCCGAACGACCTGCAATAGAAAGAAGAGTTTCCGGCGGTGGCTCGTCCACCCGGGGGCACTACGACGATTAAGTCAGTACTCAATATCTCTCAAAGATAACCAATAGTGCTTAACTCACTAGACAGAATATCAAAAACATACCTTAGACCCATGGGGGTGCCTCTCTTTTATAGCCAACACAATCCTAGTCCCAATAGGAGCCTAGCTCTAATGGACTTAGGATTACTGCTAATCTTGGACAAGTAGGATTGGGATATACTCTCTAAGAGTCTTATCTTTATCCAAACTGAAGTCTTCTCTCATTCTAGGACTCTTGTCCTTTATCCGCTTATCTCGGATTCCGACATCTTCGCAGATAACCTCGGCTTAGCCGAGATCATCTCGGCATCATGACCATGACATGTGACACCTCGGCTGACACTTCGGTGTCACCTCGGCCACGTGTTGTCATTCAAAAATTATGTCCTCACAATATATATTATGTCATATTCAAGTACTAAATAGTCTTTTTATTTTTATTTTTTTTATCACATTTATCGTTTTAGGTGTAGCACACCATCGAAGTTGAAAAATGTATAATCATATGGAGAAATTATTTGGTAAGTCCAACTTATTATGTGGCCATTTGTCCATCTTATAATAAGAAAATACCTGATTAATTTTTCTAAAGCACATGAGAAAAGATAAAAAAAACACTAATTACATGACCTTATACAATTGTAAGAGCACATCACGTAAGATATATAATCGACCTATTAGATATTCTCATATAACATCATCACAAAAATTTGTAAAATATATAATTTGTGATTCAGAAATACTTCGATGTAAAAAATACTTAGGTCTCGTTTGGCAACTTCACTTTTTAGCTTAAAAGTAAAAAAATCACTAAAAAAAATTAAAAAGTAAACAATCTATATAAAAAAGTCAAAAATTCTATTTTCTTTCTACTTTTTGCATATCTTTTTGTAAAAACTTAAAATGTCATCCCAAACATACTATTTTTTTACATTATATTTTAGTCAAAAAACTAAAAAAAATTACTAAAAAAGTTTCCTAAACGAGACCTTAATATTACCACAAATACAACACACCATGTAGCTTTAGCATAATTACATTGGGCTACTTGAAATTTTAATTCACATAATGCTTAGGTCTCGTTTGATAATATCACTTTTTAGTCTAAAATTCAAAAAGTCACAAAAAAATAAAAAAACTAACAACTTATACCAAAAAATTCTATTTTCTCTCTACTTTTTGTACATCTTTTTGTAAAAAATCAAAAAGTCATTCCAAGCATACTAATTTTTTTATATTATATTTTAGCCAAAAAGTTACTAAAAAAACATATTCCCAAACGAGACCTTAATACTATTTGTATCAATAGTTTATTAGTCATATAAATGAAAAAATTAATATTGCCATATCTTTTACAATTGAATGAATATATTTTTTTTATTATTTATTTTTGTGACTTCACACCCTTTGTATTAGTTTTGACTCTTTTAGTCTTATAGAAAGAGAGGGTGGTATAATTATGCAAACAACAATGCTACAGACCCCCAGTACGGACGACCCCCACCGACCCCCCAGTGCCACGTGTCGGCCTGGGATTGGCCGAAAACTTAAAAAAAAAAAAATTGTTTTTTTTGCCCAATCATGGGCGACCCCCAACACCCCCAGCTGGGGGTCCAAGTCATTTTTCTTATGCAAAAACTATAGAGCAACTTGTATTCAAAACAAAATTTGAGCTACGTAGCATTGTCGTTTTTCAAATTTCTTAATTTACCCTTTAATTTTTAAATCACAAATTTCCGTAACTTTATTAGAAAATTATGTAATATTTATCCCAAAAGTATATAACATATATCAATATATATATATATATATTAATGAATTGTGATCCCTCATGGGAGTTCAGTTGTATTACGGTAGGCTAGGGTAGGGTATAGGGTTATCCGATCCGCCCAACCTGAATCGATCCAAATACAAATGGGCGGTTTCGCAGATACAATGCGGATGGATACAGTTTGGAATATGGCATGATTGTGGGTTGCAGGCGGCTTGTAGCTCGCACCCGGAAGAATCCGCCGCACTTAGACCTTTTTTTTTTCTTAAAAAAAAAAAAAACTAGACCGTTCTTATTTTATTTTTGCATTTTGGATGAATGTAAAAGTTAATGAAGAATTACTTTTAGGTAAGTTTAGAATTTTGAATGATTTTTACTTTAATTGTATTGTTGGGTAGCAGATAGTAAATGAGATTGATGATCTAGTTTAGGATTTTGAACGATGTGATTGTGTTAGTTTATGATTTGATTTAATAGGATTTTGAACGATTTATTTGTATTAGGAATTGATTTTGTTGTGTTTTTAATTTTATAAGTTTTAATTCATTAATTATTAATGTTGGAGCATTTTAGAAAATGAGGAGAAAATGGTCCAAAATAAATATTTACAAAATGAGAAAAAAAAGTGCCAAATTTTAAAGAAAAAGTTCAATCTGCAAACCGTCCGCAACCACCGCACATCCACAAATCTTATCTGCACAAACTACAACCAGCACTGTGGCGATTGCGGGTTAATTTTTTTTCAAACTATATACATGCGGGCGGGTCCAAACCAATCTGTAAACCGTTCAAAACCGAACCGCGAACACGGAGACTGTATTCAAGCCAATCCATTAGTATTGCCTTAAGTGGGCTGGGTCCAGTTTAAAGCCAACCCAAGTTGCTTGTGGGCCGACTCCAGCCCACCCATGAAAAGGGTGTAGAGCCTGCGGTGGGCATGGGCCTACACTGTAGGCCAGGTTGGTAAAACTCTTCACTTTAAAGATGAAAAATGCTTTTCATCATGAATTTTATCTCGAAATTTATCCAAAATTAAGATATATAGTGTAGATTTAAAATTGATGAGATATAAATCACACTCAAAATAGTTGCGGTTCGTAAATATTAGTTTCTAAATATATGATATTATTGCTTTCGGATTTTAAAATTCCCTAATTTTGTGTTGTTTAATTTTTTAGGGTTTGAAATATCTTTCATGAAAATTATAGAAAATAAAAGATGAAAAATTTCATAATTACTCATGTACAACACACAAAAATGATATATATATATATATATTCACATTTATCACATTTTAGATATAAATAAATAAGTTTCACATATATTTATTAATGTGAGTGTCACTGTCTTATATTTAATAGATTAAAATATAAGTTTGTATATATTTAATAGATTAAAATATAAATTTGTATGCTATGTGGATTTTATAAACCATGCCAAGCATGGATTTGGCTTACTACCCAAGGCCTCCTTCAAGCTTTACCCAAGTTTAGGATTTTTAAGCCAGACCATTTTCAAGGTATTATATTTGTGATGCTTTGTAATCCATAATGTTTGCAGATCTCACATAATAAGAGCCCTATTCAATAACATTCATAACAAAATGGATGCTCAACTAGTTGTTTATTTTACCTTAGCTCCTCCTATAAGAATCATCTTTTGACCTAATTATTGGAGAATTTTTGACCGACACCACACTAATATCAACCTAATTTAACTCATCACAAATTAAGAAAATGAAGATACAATTCAAAATTTGAAGTCATATATACAAAGTGTCTATTGCATGTCAAATTTAAATGACTTCTACAAAAAGTACCAAATTAAGTTGTCATTAATATTTAACATAATTTAAGTACTAAATTTGGGATACAATTTACCAAATATATTGAATTAATGAATATCACACTCTATACCTTACATCAATGCATTTATGTACCCAAATTTGATTAATATAATATTATTGTTATTTCTGCATAAACTACAAAGGGACATGCTTGATTTCAATCTCACCGCAATGCAAGACACATGACTAAAACAAATGGTTAAAAACCAATAGTTAAAATGCAGGGCGTAACCCCTGTGCATATACATAAGGGTATACATTTCACAACATCAATTAGTAAAAAATAAACTCTATATGCATCTTCCCAATCTCAAAGCTTAGCAATTCACTATTAACTAAATTAGACATTAAAAAATATATATAGTAATTGGTGCAACATTGCTCTATGTACAAAAAAAATGTGAATCATCAATGTCTATAATTCTTCATTATCGTCATCATTTATCTTTTTTGAATCATCAACGTCGATAGCCACAACCTTCTTAACTCCAACCCTTGAAGGCCCTGCTCGAATCTTAAAACCTAAATGCACATTCCCTGCTACACCACCAACACTGCCACCGCCACAACCTTCCTCCTCCTTTTTCAAATCACCAGGCGGCAAAAAACAATCCATAGACAATCCCCTAATGTTAAAATCCACTTCCTCGATCTCCCACACCTCCTCCATCCTTGTCCGCGAATGGCTTTCAGAGCTCTCACCGTACCTAAACAACGCCACATTAGTCCTTCCGGCATGTGCAATGTTAATGCCATCAATGGTTCTGTAATCTTGAATATGAGACTCCATTGTTGTCTCCCAAAACACGCTGTCATGAGCTCCATTTTCAGGGCTGGCTTTGATTCGGAGGAGGTGAGAGTCTTCTAGTTGGACCAAGAGCCCTGTTCTTTGGCTAAAATAGCCCCACACCGTGTGCCTAATGATCTCTACATTGCTGCTGCTTCTTGCTCGCAGTGCCGATGGCTCGGCTTCTAGTTTTAACACAAAGCAGTCTTCATCGTTGATGGTTTTCTCTCCAATGCAGACTGAGTTGGAGAATAAATTTGCAGTGGACCTTGGATCAAGACCCTGTTCAACAGTGTTCAATTCATCAATTATAAGGTTTATGTAAAAATTAAGCACTGTTCATTAAAGAAATTCGACTCCCTTTCCTAAATTGCTTTACTTTGGCAATTTTTTAAAATCATATGTTTAGATTTTGTTTATTCATTAATCTATTAAATTTTGGGGTTCAAAATTTTTTTTCTTGAATTTAATATTGAGTTTGGAAGTATGGACAAAATTGAATTATTAATTTACATCTATATATATCACTCCACATTGAGTTAGTATATATATTTTTGATCTCTTGTGTGTTGTAAATTTTTCATATATTTGGTAAAACTCTTTTTACGTATCAAAATTGCACCAAAAAAAAAAAAAATATTCAGTTTGTTTGGTTTCAATTTTTTAAATTCAGTTTTTCAAAAATTGTTATTTTTCGTATTTTTTTTGTTTTTAGTGAATATTTTTTAAATTTTAGGCAATTTTTTACTTTTTTAGATGCACTTTACTTAGATGTATCTAAATAATAAAATATTTGTGAAAAAATATTTAAAAAAATTAATAAATACACAAAAATACAAAAAATGTATTGAATTTTTAATTTTTTTTGTATTTTTTGGTATTTAGTGTATTTTTTAAAGATTTTTTTTCACAAATATTATACTTTTTAAGTGTATTTATATTCAGTGTGTCTAAAAATTTTAAAAAAATACTTAAAATATTAAAAACATTTATTGAAAACATTAAAATACAAAAAATAAAAAAGTAAAATCTTCTAAAAATTATATTCTAAAAATTAAAACTAAACAAAGTGATTCTTATCTATAATACAATTATTTTATAACTGTCTCATTTATTTAAAATTTATCCTTTAAATTTTATATTTGTTATTAAAAAAATATTAAAGACATTAACAAAATTGTGGGTAATGATTGTTGAGTGGTGCAGTCCACCAGTACTATATGCAGGTGTGGGGGGGCATGTGGCGATTGTGATCCGTGAGCTAAATCTTTAAAGTGACACAAAGCCTATGAGATGATGTTTTGATTAGAAGATAAGAACAGCTCATGGATGAACTCCCTTACCTACACTAGGATGGATGGACCACATAAATCTCAGCAAAAAACAAAGTTATGAGTTGTGGGGAACCTTTGATGCAATTATGGTAGGGTGAGGTGTTTTTTTGTTATAATCAATTTGAATTTGAAATGAAATGAGTTGTGGGGAACCTTTGATGTAGTCTTTTCGATATGAAATGAAATCACATTAATATATATTTATATATTTATTTAAATTGACTCTTTGTTAGTAATTCTATATGGAGTATACCTTAATAATCAAATCAATATGTTTGGTAGAATCATTCGAGTAGATTATTTATAAAAAATAAGTTGGTCAAATAATTATATTTACATAACTGTATCACATTTATTTTAAAAAGAAACAATATATATGAATTTAAAATTGATCCGTCTATTTTTTAAAAGCATTGATCATGTAAAAATAATTATTCAATCAAATAAATAATCATTTCAAAAACATATAAATTAAATTATTCAAATTATTAAAATGAATTTCGATAATAAGCCAACCGAAGACTAAAAACACCTGCTCCATTGGTGAAAATTATTACAACAATGATTCATCCCATTAAAAATATTACCACTAATAGCACTAATGCATTAAAAAAGTAAAAAAAAAAAAATTACAACTCCAAGACCAAAACATCACATCATTAATGGCGGGACCCACTGCCACCTAATTAATGGGGGCACTAATTAGTGCTCCCAAGCATTTTTCAAATTATTAATATGAGAAAATCAAAACTTTTTCGAAAGTATTAAAAAAATAATAATAAAAAAAAATGGTTTTTACAATTTCAGAACATAAAAAGGGAACTTGAGGCTGCCACGAATTACCTCAAATAGGGAGGCCCACACAAATAGTAAAGAGATTTTGCCCCTTCACGTAGCACTGCGGGTGAGTTTGGGTATGGTTCAATTTTTAATTTTTTTTATTTATTATAAAAAAATTTAAAAAAATGAAATAATAAAAATAAATTAACAAATAATTTATTTAAGTGGTAACCAAACCCCCTCTAAAAAATTTCTCCCCATCTCTAACGGTTAAGTTCGAGGAAACAACCGAACATGATTCCAAACAAGTGCATTATCATGTAATCAACGAAAAAGACCAAAAAGATTAAAAAAAAAAAAAAAAAAAAAGATAAAAAAAAAAAAAAAATCAGAATCATTGTTCATCACTAATATTAAATTTATTTTTAAAAAAAAATTGAAGTTATATTTTAAATTAATAATTATTAATCTAAATTATAGAATTCTATCCTTTGAAATTTTAAGAATCAATATGTAATAAGTCAAATCAATAAATAAAATGAAGTATTGTCCTAAAATAAATAAATAACTTTTCCTAATGATAACTATACCCTGTTTCTACCAGATTTCTAATTTCAACTCTGTATCTACCGCGTTTCTCATTCCAATAGGCGTTTGAGCTTTCAAAACGAAAATCACACTCATTTGACTAATATCATATATAAAAATCAATATTTTTATTATTAAAAGTGCAACATACAACTCATTGTTTTGTGTGTAATCATATAAATTTTTTCAGTTTTTTGAAAATCATCTTGAAATCGTGGTGAATCAACTAATATAAACCAGTTGACTGGCATGAATTCAATATGATTTACATAATACCTCTCGAAAATTATTTTAAAATCGTGGTGAGCAGTGGCGACTCTAGGAATTTTTGTCAGTGGTGTCAATCAAAAACTTAAATATCATATATCTTACAGAAAATTCATGTTAATCATTATATCACCTATGGAGAAAAAAATCAACAAATTAATTTAAATTCTAAAATTATAAATAAAAATATTTCAATATATTGATACTATTATTTAAGCAAAAAGACATGCTAATATCTAATATGGATTCAAAATTGGTGGGTTCAAAAGAGTAAGACTTAAAACTATGAGTTCAAAATTATATTTTAGTGGATTCAATTACTAATTTTTTTCTTAAAATCTAATATTTATATAATAAATAAATAAATAAATTCAGCCAGGGTTCGAATGACACCCCTGACCAAATCTTGGAGCTGCCCTGGTGGTGAGTCAACTGATACAGACCAATCGACTGGCCACGAATTCAATATGATTTGCATGATAGCTCACATTGTTGTAATCAAATGGAACTTTTATCAGTCTCCAAACTGCAGATGGAGGAGAGAAAGATAAAGTACCTGCAGGGAACGGCGAAGAGGTCTAGGGGGACCACGAGAAGCATGAGAATTGTGCCATGGAGTCTGTCTCCAAGCAACCTTACCATCACTCCCAGCACTAATCTTACAACCAGAAACCATCAGCTCCAAACACCACAACTCAGGGCTCTTCTGCCACAACACAAACCCTCCCACCTCCCCAACCCCATTCCTGACACTCTTCATCTTCATCACCTTCCCAACATTACCACCCAAACTATTACACCCCAAACTCATCCCATCCCCCGCGATAAACTCCGAATATGCCATCTTCACCTTCCCCATCGCATACATACTATCAATCGAATTCAATGCCTTCTCTCCCCCCGTCGCCGCCACATATTGCTGCACAATATATTTCGCCATTGAAGCCTCCTACAAACAATAATAAAAAGTCAAATTAACACCTGTGCACGTAGGCTGAGTTAGCCGAATCACGTTAAATTTGATGGTTCTCATCATCGTGATAGTTATTTATTTTCTGGTGGTAATTACACGAACTATATGAAATGCTTACGATGGCGTGGTCTTTGATGTTTTGGGAAATGGGTTGGGTGGAGGAGATGGGGAGAGGGATAAGGGGAGCTCCAACGACGCCGAGGAGGAGCTGGATCTCTGCACTGCGGCTTCCTCCGAAGATGGAGGGTGGTGATGATGATGATCGATCGGTGTAGGGTTTGACCCATCCTTTCATGTTTTGCCATGATTTGTTCTTGTTGTTTGAATTAGTGAAGGTTTCTTCTGGGATGGGGACTTCAAGGACTGTTTCGAGACCGTCCTCGCGATCCAGGTTGGGGCAGAGTGTCCTCATATGAGAGAGAGAGAGCACAGAAAGCTTGGGATTATTGGGTTTTGCTTTTCATTTGGGAGAATTATGGAATGGAGGAGTGAGAGAGAGACTAGTAGAGAGAGAGAGAGAGAGGCTTAGATTCAAAGGGAGAGATGAGAAGCTGGTGAAGATGACCAACCGACCGTGGGCCTCTCTAACGTGCGGTTCTTTGTCTATGTCGTGACTGCACGCTTTCTCGCTCCTGTATCTCACCGCAAGTTTTGTTTGTTTGTAGTATTTTCTGCGCAGTTGATTATTGCACTAATTTACAAGGAGTCTCATTTTCTGTAATTCAACAATACTTTTCTTGTTTTGACTACTTTAAAAAAAAAAAAAAAAAAAAAAAACTGCTTTTCTTGCTCTGCTTTTTTTTTTTTTTTTCTTTTTCCTTTTTCCTTTTTGATTGCACAATTTTTTTATTGTTCTCAAATTGTTAATGGGTTGGAGACGAGAGAACTCTTCATTTGTATTTGTGTCTACATATATAATCATTCAATCCGGATAAAAATAGGAAGCCGCATCTCTCTCGTTCACATATGAATCCAAGAGGTACGCCATTCATCTTGTAAGACGTTGGGTATAAATTATTTATAAAAATTAAATTAAAATTTTATGATTTTATTATATTTAATTTTTTAAAATTTAATAATAAATATAATTTTTAAAAGTAAATTATCTATCTTAAAAGTACGAAATTTGGATGGGAAGTCATTTTTGTGAACAAAATTATCTTACCCAACAACTCCCACATACTATACTAGGTATGTTAGTATGTCACCTAACAAAATTATATTTTGGCTTGGTTTGGGAAGTAGGTTGGCTTTTTGGCTTTTTAGCTTTTTTGGCTATTTTAGCCTGGGCTAAAAAGCTTGGTTTGGGAAGGGCTTTTTGGCTTTTTGGCTTTTTTGACTTTTTTTGTGAGAGAAGAATGTAATGATTATAGGTTGGATGTGATGTTTTGTTTGTTATGGCTAAAATAGCCTATTTTGTTTTTTGTGGCTAAAATAGCCAAAAAAGCCTCAAAACTAACTTGCCAAACAGAGGCTTTGTATTTTATCTAATTATTTTGACTAGTGTATGCTATACCCTACGTATCTTGCTCACCTCAATTCATGATCTAGGTTAGAGGATGCTATTTGGAGCTGTTGGGCTCACAAATGTCTTGTTTCGATAATTCAAACCGTTTATTTTATAAGATTTTTGTGTATATCATTCATAAAAAAAAGTCAATTTAATCATCGTAGTTTATTCATTTTATCGTATTTGTGTCCAAAAAATTGCATGACCAATATGTTTTTAAAAATAGACCTTTCATTTTTTTGTGACAAAAACGATAAGTTGAATAAGTTATAATTATCAGATTTATTTATTTATTTATTTTTTTGTGAATGATATACACAAGAATTATGCAAAATGAACAATTCAAATAATCGAAATGAGACTTGTGAGGAGTCTCAGGGGCACTGACAGCACTCTTCAGTATAAATTATGGACTAGAGAGATGTCCAGGCCATACTCTAACATCAATTGGTACATTGAAAATTAGTTATCTAACCTCCAAAACTTTCCAAATATAGTTAAGAGACAACGAGACAAAATACATCTATATTATATATTAAGGAAAAATGAGTTTTTCTAATGAGAACGGATGTGAGAGCTTCACATGCCCAATCTCAATTTCTTATTTTTTTTTAATTTAAAAAATTAACTATTAAATCACACACTCAATTTTATATATGTTAGGTTTTTATTCTTGACAATCCCGTTTGACAAAACTCCTTTAAGTTGTATTTGTTTTTGCACTTTTTATTTCAGTGAGGCTATGAGTGTTTAGATGCGAATCCAACCCGAATTATGCCTTGCAGAAAAGTTTGTGATGTTAATTCTTTCAAGATTGCCACTTCGCTGATTATAATGGGGATCGAGCTGCCCGGTCAGCTCGTGGGGGTCGAGGGGGCAGCGCCCCTTGACGAGTCCGGGGCAGTGCCATGGCGGGGTCGAGGGGCAGCGCCCCCGAAGCAAAATACAAAAATGCATTCAAAGTTGCCTCCTCGCTCGAGCGTCCATTCCCCCTCTCGAGCGGAGAATGCTGAGTTCCAGAAGTTTAGTTTGCCTGCAAAAATACTGGATGTTGTTTTTTCCCGCTCGAGCGAAACTTTCCGCGCTCAAGCGTAGGTCCGCTCGAGCGGCCAATCTGACGCGCGAGTGGAGATCGCGGGACAGTTTTCTATAAATACGTGTTTTAGTCCAAATCTAGGATTACGTCTCTAGATCTTCTTCTTGGATTCTAGGATTTATATCTGGGGATATTTTGTTAGTTTTCATTGATATTTCATTGAGTATTTAACTCATGATTTAAGAAGCATACATCAAAGGACTATTTGTTTGTTCTACATAAAAGAGAGAGTTGTTCTTCGGTGAATTCTGAAGAATTCGAGCCTGAAGCTTTGGTGGATTCTGGAGTGGCTCATCGTAAAGACAATTCCGAGATGAAGACTGGATTGGAAGAGACACATAGGGGTTGGTTCAATTCGGGTGTGGATTCGCTAGGTAATTGAGAGTATACCTGTGTAATTTCTTTATATCTTCTTAGTGGATTGTTTTGTGGCTGTTGCCCGTGGTTTTTTATCGCAGTTGGAGGTGCTCCAATTGTGGTTTTTCTACGTTAAAATCGTTGTGTCGATCTGTCTTGATTGTTTGATTGAGATTGTTATATACCGCTTAAAATTGATACATAATCACAAATCAACATCTAAGGAGTTTCTAAATTTTTCAATATATGATTTTACACTTTTTCCAATTCTACAAATTAAAAAAGAAGGCATTTGTTTCATTTCTAAAATTATTCCCTAAAATCATTTATTCCTTACAATCAAACAAAGGAGTTTTCCAATTTTAAAAAAATAATAATAATTAAAAAATCACACACTAAAAAATATTTACCGTAAAGCATAAAATTGTTAATAAATATACCAAACAAATATGTATGTTAGACATATTTTTGTTATAAAAAATATTTTAAAATATATTTGCTAATTAAAAATTAAATAAATAAGTGGGGCAACTAACTCATGAATTGGACATGAACTAAAAGATACTAGATTTAAACCAAGAATTGTTAACAAAAGAATTGACTGTAACTTGATTTTCTAGGCTGCTTTTTATGTTTAATATAATATTAAAACCTTCAAACTAGCGGCTAGCTACAAACTGATAAATTTTGATAAAAGTTTAAACATAAAGTTTAAATTTATTACTATCAAATATTTTAAATAATTAATTGATCAATTTTTTAGATTAATAGGGCTAGAATATGATTTATAATTTGCGGCTGCTATATTTTTAATAATTTTTATTCAATTAATAGTTTTAAACATAAATATATATTTTTTTACCTATTCAAAAGTTGAGCATAAACCAAGATAATTTCTGATAATTAGGTGAATGCCAAGTTAACGTCAATATTGAGTGGACTAGCTTTTATACTGCTTTTAATATTTAGTCTAACTCTAACACAAGACAATACTAATCCATTCTTACGTAAGTTTTATAATATAAGACAAATTATAATGACCTAGAAGCATGAGTAGACAAATTTCCAAGTTTTACAAAACATGAACAAATTAGTATATTAACAAATGTGATTTACGACTATCATATGATAAATTAAAATTACATAGCTCATAAGACGAAATGTACTTATATTTTATTGTAAATATAATTTTTGTAATTTATTTTATAATTTTTACCAATTAAATTATGGCATGTATTTTTATTAAGAATTTAGAACATACAATTAATTTCATAAGAATAAAAAAAAAAATTCTCTTATGTGTATCTTTGATAAAAATAAATAAAATTTAGTTGATTCTAAATTATTTTTAGCAAATATTTTAGATAAATTTTATATTATTATTTAATTTAAAGAAACGATTTTTGATTCTTTGTTTATACGAATACATAGCATGGGTATTATGCTAGCACTACATTATGGCAATATAACTAAAATGTTTTAAATGTGTCTTTTGTTTGAAGAGCAATGCTACATCGTCTGAATTTTGGTTTGTCTGAATCACTCGAATTTTAGCTTGTCGGTCATTTGGCCGGTCATTTGGCAACAAGGTGATAGCCGCAATCGACAAGGGTGACAAGTGTTGCACCAATCATCTTGGTGGTCGTCCGGGCAATCAATCGGAATGTATAAATTCATGCGATCGATTCGGACAAACTCAAATTTGAATAATTAATCATTTTTGTTGTTTGAAATGCCCTTACACAGTCATAAATAACTGAATATCACCAATTAATTTGTGCACATCCAAATATTAATTTATAATTTTTGTTTTGGAAATTTAATGACATAATTTTATTCCACAAACAAACACAGTCTAGCGAGTTGAGAGGATGAGAAAAAAAAAACATCTCTTATAAGAATTAGGGGAAATTTTGCACTTTAGTACAAGCTTTGAAATTTTTTATAAATCAATGATAAATTTTATTATAATTTATAATTATAATTTTTTTATATATTTATATAAAATATCACTGATTTATAATTTTCTCTAAGAATTAAACAAGTCAGCCATCCGTACCAATAACATGCGGCCGATATTAAAAAAAAAAATTGTAAACAAATTTTATTGGTATAATATTTATAAAATAATAATAATAATAATAATAATTATAACGCTCAATCCGCTTCTCTGATTGGAATCAACAAATTAATTTGTTATTTTTTTTATTTGGATTGATGTCAACCAATTAATTCGGCTGTTGTTTGGTGACGAGGACAAGCACAATATGAATCCAAAAACTAGTTGATTAATTAGAAATGTCTTCACTTCAATCATGCCATGCACGTTCACATTAAACCCAATACATTACTGGGTTAGCTTTATCCAAAAGTGCAATGAGGGATGGATTTTGGATTAATTCAAGGAAACACAAAGTTGCATTCAGATAAGATAATGTCTGTATGTAAACAAGAAAAGTGGATGTCGGCTTAAGTAAACATTATCATAAGATTCTAACTGTTGGGATTTGTGAACCGACTATTTATATAAAATAAATAAAATTAAATAGTGGTTATATGAATATTGAAATGATGAACATAACTTAAGGTAGATAGATTATATCATGTAGTTCCTTGTTCATGTATTTACTTGCTTAAAATTGCTTATAACACTA